GCTCCCGGAGAACTCGCTGCCGGGCGCCTTTTGGTCCATTTTTAAAAGCAGATTTTTTTTTAAAGAATGATGTGATAGTTTTATTAAGTATTAATATGTTTGCAGGGCCTAGGATATAGCTCAGCAGCACAGTGCCTTGGCTGGCAAGTATAAGGTCCTGAGTTTGATTCCCAATACCCCACCAAAAAAATAGGTTTGTAATTTACAAGAAATTACTTTGTTTTTTTAAGAAAGAGAATGAAAAATTAAAAACATATAGAATTCCAAACAAGATGATAGGAAATCAACAATGGCTGTTATATTGCATATTGTTATCTTCAAAGTAGTTGTCAGATTACCAGATATAGGCATGCAAAAATTGATTAAAAAATTAAGCACTAACTGTTCCTTTCAATAAAAATAGAAATTAGTAATACAATTATCTTAGCTATCTTGTGGATTTATATATTTTTCCCCTTTCTTCTTTCTTTCTTTTCTCCTTTCCCTCATCTCAGTTGTTCTTTCCTTTTGAGCAGTTTCTTTCCTTTTCATAATATCTATTGTACCTTTCAGATTTCATTTACTCTTTCAATTTCTTACACTAGGGAAACAACATGATGTTTACACACGTGGGACTGATTTATTTCACTTATGAGTATAGTCTCTAGTTGCATTCATTTACCTATAAAGTCCTTGAGTTTATCTCTCTTTATGGCTGAATAACACTCCATTGTATAAAAATACATCATTTTTATCCATTCCTCAGCTGATGGGCATTTGAGTTGTTTCCAAGATTTAACTATGACAAATTGCACTGCTATATATAACATTGGTGCACATATAACATTGTGGTATGATGTTTTCAGTTCTTCTGGGAAAATAACCAGAGGAGGAATAGCTGGGCCAAATGGGACCTCTAGTCCTATTGTTTTGAGGAATCCTCTCACTGATTTCCACAGTGGCTGTACCAGTCTGCACTCCACCAACAGTGAAAAAGTGTTCCTTTTTCCTCTCAGCTACTCCAGCATTTGTCATTGGTTGATTTCTTGATGATAGCCGTTCTTTCTGGGGAGAGATGGATCTCAGTGTTGTTTTAATTTGCATTTCTCGAATGAACAGTGATGTTGAACATTTTTTTCATATATTTATTTGCCATTTGTATTTCTTCATCTGAGAAGTGTGTATTCATCTCAGATGCCCATTTTTGGATTGGGTCTTTGAATTTTGGGGACCTGATTTTTAAAAATTCTTTGTATTTTATAGATAGAAGTCCTTTGTCTGAGGAACAATTGGCTAAAATTTTTTCCCACTCTGTGGCTTGTCTTTTCACTCCTCTGGTGATTTCTTTTGATATGCAAGAACTTTTTAATAAGATTATTTCCCAGTTGTTGATTTTTTGAAGTATTTTCTGTGCAGTTTGGATTTTGTTCATGAACTCTGCCTACACCTATGTCTTCAAGATTTCTACCTACTTTTCTTCCAGTAGATTTAGTGTTTCTGTTTTAATATTTAGATCTTTAATCCAATTTGACTTTAGTTTTGTACATGGTGATAGATATGGGTCTAGTTTTAGTCTTTGGCATGCAAAAAGCCAGTTTTTCCAGCACCACTTATTAAAGAGGCTATCTTTCATCCAGTGAACATGTTTGGCCCTTTTTCAAAGATAAGGTGTTTGAGGTTGTTTGTAGCTGTGTCTTCATCTCTAATCTGTTCCACTGACTCTCAGGTATGTTTTCTTCTAGAACTATGCTGATTTTATCACGGTAGCTTTATAATTTCATGTCAGGGACCGTGATGCCTCCTGCCTTTTGTTTGTGAGTAACAGTTCTTTATCAGCTATGTCTTTTTGCTAATGTTTCCATCTGGTTTGTGACTCATTTTCCTGGTGTACTTTTAATCAGTCACACTAAACTAAAATATGCTTGGCATTGTATCCAACCACTACATATTTTCAAATCTATAAACATCTAAGAGAAAATATTTAATTTTTAGAATACATTTTTTTCCCTGGAGCTAAGAGATATGGCCCCATAAGTCTCACAGAAGCAGTAGCACAAACACACAACAAACAAGCAAATAAAATGTGTCTCTGAAATTAATTTGGCAACCCCGGCCAGAGTCAAGGTTTCAGAAATCTAGCTAGAAGTGTATTTGTTTGTGTGTGTGTGTGTGTGTTTGTAAATTGAAGGAATCAACTCTCATGAACCAGACAGGTCAAGAATTGACTTAATTTAATTCAGTACTGAGACTTTCAAGGGAGGATTCTAGTATTCCACTCTGTACTCTAGCAATTGCCCTCTTACTACCCACTCTACTACCCTTCACATATACCCATTTCTTACCACTCCTATAGGAATCAGTCCTTTAGGGTCTACAACCCATTCATCAAACTGGTCCTGCAAAGCCTGTTTCCGCCTGTCAGCCACTTTGGCTTTGACTGTGTGTAGGTACTGTCTTTGTTGTCTTTTCTGTTTAATACTCTCCTTCAGCTTGGAAACTCTGAAAATATATAAAGATAGAAAGCAGGCTAAGTTAACCTCTTGGATTTGATTCACATTGTTCAAATGGCAGAATACAACTCAGAGCCTCATTTAAACATTATACCTATCTTTTCTCCATAAAATTTTTCTTGATGTAAGCCTGTAGTGAGCCCTCTTTCCCTCTAAAACTACTGAATTTGGCATTTATCTTATGTTCTCTAAATTATTGACTTTGTATAGAAGTGGGACTTATTTTACCCCACTAAATACTGTATTTAAGAAGTATTGGTAGGAATGTAAATTAGTACAGTAATTATAGAAAACTATGAAGGTTCTTCAAAAACCTAAAGATAGAATTAGCATATGATCATGCAACCTCAGGTTTGGGTATTTACCCAAAAGATTTGAAATCACTATGTAAAAGTGGTGCATGCACTTACATATTCATTACCCCTTTATTCATAATACCTAAGTTATAGAATCAACCTTAGTGGCCACCAACTGATGAACAGATAAATGAAATGTAGTGTATAAATGCAAAAAGGAAAAAAATTCTGTATGTTGTGATGATGTAAATAGAATGGAATAGAATTGTGTTAAATAAAATAGGCACAGAAAGACAAATACAATATATTCTCATATATATGTGGAATATGAAATAATCATACAGTGATGGTTACAGAGGTTGGGGGTGCGAGAAATGAGATGATGGTCAAAGGGTAGAAAATCTCAGGAGGAATATATTTTTAAAAGATCAACTGCACAGAATTAATTACCTTGATTTTGTTTTTTTACATTGTATGTGTATAACTCATAACATCACACTGTACCTCATAAATATACACAATTATAAATTGTCACATACAATTTAAAAATAAAAAAGTAGTAAGAATAGTGCAACAACCTACCCTACATAATCTAAAGAGAAGGCTGATGCATCAAAGCCTTAAACCATAAGCCTATCTCTTCTCTGGCTGTAGAAATCATCTTGAAGGCTTCTGATCCCAAGACTATGGTAGAAGCTTGGAAGATGCATTTATAACAAGTGTCTTAGGTGATTCTGATGACTTTAATCACATTTTTGAGACATCTGATTAGAAGTATGAGGCATTATTAAGAATATGGTGAACGTTGAATTTTTAAAAATTTTGTTATAGTAAAAGACACTTTGCCATTAATTCCCATCAAAATACTTTCCCTTATTTTGAATAACTTCTCCCATTCTTCTCGCCACTTTCTGAAGCACATTTGGAAGTCCTCTTTCCCGTTTTTAGATGCATTATCGTGTTGGGCTCAATGTCCTGAATTGATTCAAAACTTTTACTCTTTAAGGTCATTCTGACTGTGGAAGAGCTAGAAATCACATGGTGCCAGACATGGTGAATAAGCTAGATGAAGACATATCACAATGCTTTTACAAGCCTATCTTTCTATTGGATGGCACTCGACAACAGCATTCATTGTATTTTTTTAATCAGACCTTGTAAAAACATTCATAAAAAGGGACTTCCAGAAGTGTCTCAGAAAGTGGTAAGAATGATCAGATAAATATGTTTGAAGAAAGGAGAGTTTTTTGAGAGGGACTAAGGGCAATGTGTCTTTTACTGTAATAATTTTTAAAATTTAAATGTTCACCATACATTTCAGTCAGATCTTGTATCTTGTCCTATTGCCTCTTTCTAGTGAGAGTAAAATACTTTGACAGCCCCTGCTGAAGTCCTGAGCACAACAGCTATGCTTGCACAGGGGATGCATCACCCAGGCTGAGACTGAGGAAAAATTTTGATTTTCTATGTTATTCAGCCTTATCAGGACTTATAAAAACCTAAACTGATTTTGATCAAAACCAAATCACATGGCTCAGAATAATAAAAATAACTTCCAGTTTCAAGTTCTTTGTTTGTTGTTTGAGGCAGGTTTTCAACTTTTATTTTTTCAATATTGTTTATTGGTACAATTAAGATATACATAATGATCATATTCATCATAGGGAATTTGCACCTGTATATGATATATTCTGATTCCTCTTTTTTCCCCATTCCTTTCCCCTTCATTCAACTCCTCTTTCTCTCTTAATTTACAAAGCTTTGTTCCTGTTTTACCCTTTTTTAGGGGGCTGGGGTTATAGCTCAGCAGCACAAATGCCTGCCTGGCAAGTGGAAGATCCTGAGTTTGATTCTTGGTACAAAAAAATCAATGTATTCTTTCTTTTTCTTTTCTCTTCTTTCCTTTCCCCCTTTCCCCTCACTAATTCCTCTTTCCTTTTGAACAATTCCTTCCTATTTTACAATATCTGTTGTACATTTTGATCCTTATTTACTCTTTCAGGTTCTCACACCGGGGGACAACACAATATTTATACACGTGCCTCTGACTTATTTCACTTGAGTATGGCCTCAAGGTACATCCATTTACCTAGAAATGACTCAAGTTTATCCTTCTTTATAGCTGAGTAGCACTATTTAGAACATATAAAGAATTAAAAATATCAGACCACCTAAATTAAAAAACCCATTCCAAAAATGGGTATCTGAGATGAATACACACTTTTCAGAGGAAGAAATACAAATGGCAAATAAATATGCGAAAAATGTTCAGCATCACTGGTCATTCAAGAGATGTAAATTAAAACAATGTTGAGATTCTATCTCATTCCAGAAAGAATGGTTATCATTAAGAAACTGACCAATAACAAATGCTGGAGGGGCTCTGGGGAAAAAGGAACCCTTCTCCACTGTTGGTGGGCGTGTAGACTGGTGCAACCACTGTGGAAATAAGTGTGGAGATTCCTCAGAAAAGAAGGACTAAAGGTCCCATTTGACCCAGCTATTCCTCCTCTGGGTATCTTCCCAGAAGAATTAAAAACATCATATCATACCATATATATGTGCACCCATGTTTATAGCAGCACAGTTTGTAATAGCTAAATCTTTGAAATAACCCAAATGCCCATCAGCCAAGGAATGGTTTTCACCTTTTCAAGGAGAAAGACTAAGATGATTTGACAGATTTTGAAACCCATAAGGATTTTAAGTAAGAACTTCCAAATTGGATACCTTTAATAATTCAAAAGAAATTATTAAGCTATTATTTTATGCCCACATAAGACCTTTGGAATTCTCTAGAAAAACAAGCCTTCAAAAACAGACTTTGAATTTCAAAAATAAAAGGAAGGAAGCAGTTTAATAATACAAAAAGAGCCAGCATCTGAGCCCAAAAGATTAATTAGTATTATTATTTAAAGGAAGTGCTAAATTCTTCTGATGCAGTTGCTAAGCAGGCAAGCCTCTCATCCCTTCTACCTGTCTCTTGTTCTGCTTTGTTTTTCCCTCTTCTGCTTCCTCTCTCTTCCTCTCTCTCTATAGCATTGTCCTTGATTTCCATCTTTATTCTCATGAAACTTGCTATTCTCTACCTCTGTCTTATCCCAACTGCATTCACTTTTTCACTAAGTCACTTACTCGCACATTACACAAACATGTAGGGGATACATACTATGGATTCTGCTACTATAAAGCTTAGGTTTTGCTGGGCACAGTGGTGCACACTTTTAATCCTAAAACTCTAGGAGGCTGAGATGGGAGGTTAGAAAGTTCCAGCCCACCTGGGAAACTTATCAACTTAGGGAAACTTTATCTCAAAATTTGAAAAAAAGGGCCGAGACATAGTTCAGTGTAAAAGCCCTGGGTTCAACTCCCAGTACTGCTACCATCAGCACCACCACAACCAAAAAAAAAAAAAAAAAAAAAAAAAGCTTAGAATCCAATGATAGAACAGAAAAGGTAAGTAAACCATACAGTATAATAAGCTCTTTTCAAGATTCTCATGTGACACAAAAATGGATTCATAAAATTATTTTCTGTCATATTTTCACTACATGAAATATTTTTTGGCCTAACTAGATTTTCCACATGCTTCAGGTCTCAGCTCATCTCAGACATCATTTCCTCCCACTTACTGATGGCCAGACTTAGAAATAAAATCTTGTTTTGTGCCTCAGAGCCATTGTATATGAGTTTCCAAATATAATCCAAATGGATTTTAAATTGATTATATCACTTACTCCAGGAATGAATAATATTTCTATTGTGTAACTTGAATTATTTCATGAGGGTGTTTATGTCAATCAACAGAATTTGATAGCATCCAAAACTCTTTAACTTTCGGCAATATAGGTTGGACATAACCCACAGCTAGATTTTAAAGGAAAAATCACAGTGTGATAAATTATATAGATGGCCATAGATTCTTCACATTCCTGTATGAATGTCTCTTTGTTTGCAGTGTAACTCTGCAGTTCCTCCTTTAAAAGATGCAGTCTATTTCTGCAACCCACTAACCTGCCTTTGGGCATATGACTTACAATGGGACGTGATCAAACAGGATGCAGGCAGAAAGTTGAAAAGTGCTAAGGCATTGGGGTGTGCCCTTTTTTACGGAAGATGGAAGCCCTTCCACCACATCGTGGAAATAAGCCTTCAGTAGCCTGCTGGGTGATGATTCAGTTATCTCTTTGATCCTGCAGATAGCCAATTACTAGAAAAGCAACTAAGGTCAACTGTCGTCTTACTACAATGCATGAGTGAGTCTAATTTATACCATGTGAAGCAGAAATGAGCCATGAATTCAGCTCAAAGTTACCAGTCTATAAAATCATGAGCAAATAAATAGTATTATTTTAAGCTACTAAATTTGGGGATATTTGTGATAGGTTCCTGCCCAGGTATGAGTTGCTGAATTATTATGGCGGTGGTGGTCTAACATGGCTGAAGCCCAAAACAACAGCTTATCTTCCTAGTGACCAACCCCTCTTCTACTCCCCTCAGCCTAGAGTACAACTTCCTCTTGCCCTTCCCTTGTGCACGTAGAAGCCCCTAATCAGCTCCTGACATGTCACTCAGCCCGCCCCGTTAAGCTCTACCCTTCACCAGAGGCTTTATAAACCCCAGTTCCCTTTGTCTAGCCCCAGAGGAGTTCCGTATCCCAAGCTGCTGTCTCTTCTCCATGTCTGGAGTAAAG